TGAGTGAGGTGTGCTCTGAGAAGGGGATGGCCGGCTGCCTGAAGCTGCTGTTCTGCGTTGGGAGATGGGGAGGGATTGGGGGACGGGGGGTCAGGGAAGGCAAGAGAAGGGCCTTCTGTGTGATGCAGCGGGCGGCGGGAGTCCCCCCTGGTTCTCCTTTAGATGTGCCTGAGAGTGTCATGCCAGAAGATTAATCCGTCCAGAATGGGTGAGAGGCTAAGAGGCTGGACTTCGGGAGACCTTTGCAAAATATATGTGAAAAAGGGAAGGAGTTTCTTTTTTGTTTGTTTCAAGTTTTTATGTAAATTCCAGTTAGTTAACATATAGTGTAATTTTGGTTTCAGGAGTAGAATTTAATGATTCATCACTTACATGTAGCAGATAGTACTCATCACAAGTGACCTCCTTAAAACCCATCACCTATTTAACCCATCCCCGCCACCTCCCCTCTAGCAACCCTCAGTTTGTTCTCTGTAGTTAAGAGTCTATTTTATGGTTTGCCCCTCTTTTTTTTTTTTTACCCCTTATATCCATCCATTTTCTTTCTTAAATTCTGCATATGGGTGAAATCATATGGTGTTTGGCTTTCTCTGACTTATTTCACTTAATGTAATACCCTTAGTTGCATTCACATCGTTGCAAATGGTTTTGATGGCTGAGTAATATTCCATTGTGTATATATACCACTTCTTTATCCATTCATCAGTTGATGGACATTTGGAAGGAAAGGGGTTTCTATTTTCCAAGGGTCTTAAAAGCATACCATCTTCCCCTCCTATCTGTAATCGTTTACTATAGTAAATTTCCAAATTTTTCACTGTAGCAAGTAAACAAATTTAAAGAGATGTTGAATAAGGTCATATTGATTAAGTACAGGATTAAATATTTTTTTCTAGGTTGCAGCATTGGTTTATTTTAATGCAATTTGACAACACAGCAAGTTTATTTGAGGTGGGCCTGAAGCTTAGAACTCAAACATTTGTTCTGTCACATAGGATTCTTTTCCACCTCTGTTAGAGCACTTCATTTGTAACATAAACCTGCTGTTGGTTTATCTTTCCAGACTCTGAGCTCTTTCAAGGCAGAGCTGGTGTCTTCTTCATTGTGTATACTCAGCCCCCAGCTCATTGCTTTTAAAATAGCAGTTGTCGAATGGGTGGGTGGAGTATGATTATAATGTACTTTTTCTCTGTTCTTTGTTACCCTGATTTATGCTTTAAGTTTATAAATGACTGATAATACTCTGCATGTGAAGAGATTTGCATGGGTCATTTGAGAGGGAGGTATTGTTGTAGCTGCACTTTACTCTGATGGACAGCACTAATCCCACAGAGATATTTTGGTATGTATGAGCACTGATGGTTGTGCTTTAAAAGTGTCTGCCCCTCGATGTTAACCAGACTGCCCGTGTGGTAGGTCCTGCAGCAGAGAGTCACTGACATAGAAGTCAGATGGCCTAGGTCCCAGTCCGGGCACATACAGCTCCGAGCACTCCCTCCCCCTCATCCGCAGCCTTTGCCTGGGTGATGCCCCCTCATCCTTTAATCTCCACGTCACTTCCTCAGCATCACCTGTCCCGACTGTGTCATGAACTAACTCTGGTTGCCAGGTCTCTGTTTGCATGGGAGTCTGTGATTTTCCTTTATAGTGCTTACCACAAGTAATTATTGCATTGATTATTCTATTAATGGCCTCTCTGATGAGGCTGAAAGTTCCACAATGGCAGGAACGTGTCTAGCAATTTCTCCACTGTGTTCCTGTCACCTGACACAGTACCTGGCACAAATTATGTGCTGGGTAAGTAACTACTCGGGGAGCCAGTGAACTGTGGAAAATTTGACAGGGCACTTAACCTCCATGAGATAGCGCTTTCTCCAAATGCTTAAAAACCTCTGAAAGGTGGGCGCCTGGGTGGCTCAGTTGGTTAAGCGACTGCCTTCGGCTCAGGTCATGATCCTGGAGTCCCAGGATCGAGTCCCGC